AAAATAGTCCGAAACATATTATAAGAAAAATAATAACATGAAATAAATAGCAGACATTAGTGAAACGTTATTCAATCACAAATCGTACTGCGAAGAATGAGGGAAATATATAAATTTAAGAGATCAACAGGGTGATCTGAAATATAACCTGGTACTTATTTAGATTCAGCTTCCACCAACCCCGAATCACCTGTATCTGTGATGCAGTTGCCAGGAACTCTGAGGGCCATGGAATTCAGTTCCCGGAAAGTATCAAGACACGATATTGCTACTGCAGTTACTAGGAATATACAGTAATTACTAACCCTCTTTAATTAACGAAGTACGAGATACACTCTTAGCAGCAGTGAACAGACGCCACGAAATTTGCGGGTTTCAGTTGCGCTCAGTTTCCATTGTTTAAGATCAGAAAGCCTGCTGATCATCGAGTGTTGTAACATTGGCAGTTGACATCAGATTCTATTCTCTGTAGTTGTCTTGCATTTTAATGCAATTCAAGTTGCTTGTACAGTTATTTCTGTTAAGTGAAATTAGCTTCTCTTTATACATGACGTTAATAGCGTGGAGCTTCTCAGGGCTCGGAACCTAAGCTGCTTGCTGGTTTCTGTTGGGTGCGCTTTTCCCATTCAATTGTTCTTTGAATAGCGCACGTACAATTCCCTAATTCAATTAAAGTCTTCCCTAAGCTAGTTTCTGCCGCTTGGTGGCTGGAAGCTGTCTGTCAGAATCTGAGATACCTTACCTTTATTCCATCTTCTTGTCTTGCTCTTTAAGACCACCCTCCTGTTCTTTCCCTTTCTTCTTCGTCTTGTAGCTATCATTTCCATTCTTGCCATCTCCTGTCAGTCTCCAATGACAACTCAGACTTCTTCCCATCAATTCACGTTAACGAGATTCCATAATGAAAGGTGCAATCAACTGCTGGTACAAACTTGCTTCAGTTTGGAGCCTGTCTACCTAAGCTGAAACCCGCCACATACACTTTTTTGAACTCAACTCTTACTATGAGTCGTGTCGGATTCATTTGACGGCTCAACTTTGTCGACTGCTGGCATTATGTGATCACTGAATGTAATGACGAGATTAGAGCGCTCGCATCTTCCATTGTCATCGAGACTTCACATTCTGTTCGTCAGGTTGTCGCTGACTTTGTCATCCTCAACACCGAGTACAAAAAAGAATCCTGACAGAAGATTTTGGCGTCAAAGTCATAGCGACAGTCAATAATGTCACTAAGCCCATAATATATACACATCAAACAAATGAGAGAAACTGTTCTTCTGTTGAATAAAGTGTTAAAAGTTTAGAAAATGTTTCCCAGTCTCATTATTGCAGGAGTGGAATTATTAATTTGTGTCAGTTCATTAGAAACATGTTTATTACTATATTTCTGTTGGTCGTAGATTTAAATGTATTTGTAGTGAAATTATAATCTGTTACATTCTATATATTATTACACTTATGAAGAAAAGTATTTAAGCAATCAGAATATTTTAATTAATAAAACTACAGTTAATCAATTATATACTTCTCAGTGATCAACGGTACAGTGACAGACATAAATCGATATCGATAATTAAATATTTGTGAAACAATTCCATTATTAGTACTAAAATAGTGGATTAATATGTTGTTTCTCTTATACGTTCTACTTAGATGCTGTTTGTAATAATGAACAAGTTAGACTTAGCGCCTTTATAAATGAGGTTAATAACAGTATCATTATTGCTGGAACCACTTCACCTTCAGCAGTTTTTCAACATCTTTGCGTTACTAAGTACGTACAGAAGTTTCCTTGTGTTCATTTATACACAAGACTGTGTATGCTAAACACTGGCTTCTTGCGACTCACAGTTTTTCTGCAGCTATTTACCCTAGCGTTACGCCCATGCTACATAATTATTTTCAATTTTGCAACTGTTTTCTCCCTTGACTTGTACTTAGAAATTACGTCTACTTAAGTCTACTCCTTCATTTACATCTAATTTTATGCACGTATATTCCAATATTTTTTAAATTAACCGCCTTAATATACTTTAGTATTTTCTTAATAGCTAATTCCTAATTTACACGAAGCCAACTGTTGCATAAACATTTATCCCTTCATTTTTTAGTTCCTTCCAATCTAATAATGTGTTCCACATCACCCAGACGTATTAGGGAGCACACTATTATTCAAAACACTTTCAAACACGTGACTCATTTTGCGAGAAACGTCTTAAATAAAGATAATTTTATAAAAAGATTCGATGTCAACATCAGTGTTCGATAACGAAGTGTTATATCTTATTGATTGTCACTGCATCATACAGTGTACAGTTTGGATTATTTGATACTCTACTAAGCAATGAAGAACTTCCTATGCTCAAACCGTAGCTTAAGAATCCTGCAATTAAACAGCGGAAAATTGTCTTAAACTTCTACAGGTTTGTGACAATCATCTGGTTTAAAGAAGTAAAGTGCACATTGATGTTTCGGAGGTAGGCTCTGTCTCCATCTTCAGATAAAAAGACAAGGGGAGAAAAGAAATTTCTGCTTAGTTTGGGCCCATTAAATGGTCCCAGTCCTTGTTGCTGAACCAGGAAATTTAAGGTTATGACAGATAATGAAAACGGATTATTTAACTAAATAACAAATCTGTACTTATTCTTTACTGAAACAGGCAACTAAAATTTATTGTCATGGTTTAATATTTTAATTATGATAGAGGTAGGACGAATTTATTAAAATAATTCTTACATAAATATATAAAAAGATTTATCTACATGTTTTATGTTTGTCTAAATTGTAATCATTTAGCACTTCAGCTTGTACGGCGGCGTACGTTATATTTTTCATTATAAACGGTTCAGGAAACTCGCCTGCAAAGTGCCAACAGACTAAACAGTTTCCGCCAACTATAAAACAAAGCTTTGCATATATTTTATTTAATGGTTTACCTGAACTACGAATTATTATTTTGTTTACTTATAGGTTTGTTCTGTTCGCAGTTTTATTTAACAGGATGGCTCATCCCTCTGTAAATACTTACGTGGCATTAAAAATAGACCACGATATGCTGGTCGAATTTTTTACTCTCCGAGTTATATTTATGGTTCACACGCTCCATTATGTTAATGGAATACAAAGGTAATTACTTATACACAGTCTGTTGAGAACTGAAATTGAAATCTCTTATACAGCGATCTGTATAGCTGATCGGTTAAAGAGTTTAATTTTATGTTAAAGTAAATGTTGATATAATAGGCTTATCTTAATTTTAACAAAGGTATTTTAATTTACATGGAATTTAGTTATTGGTAAAATGTAGAAATAACATTTTTCTGAGTTTATTAAGTTTTAAGTGATGTGTGAAAGAAGAGAGACAATGCTGGGTTTCCAGTCGCACATGCGAGAATAATATTAAAACAGTTCTTAAAAAAGTAACATGGAAGGGTGTTCATTGGATTAATCTGACTTGGGATACGGGACAGTGGCGGGATCTAGCGAACACAGTAATGACATTTTGAGTTCCATGTAAGGGGGAATCTCTTGTGCAGCTGAGGTACAAATAGGGTCCCATGAAGGATGCTGACCCACGAGATAATAGTCTGACAAGACTACTGTGGAAAATTATAAAACAGTCAATAAAGGAAATGTCTGCGAAATGGAATGTTTCCTGCTAATGATATAGGAAACCTTCTTTAGCACAACGTCTAGGACGGATCCTGGTTCATTCACGTGTTGTTTTTGTGCACAAAACACGCCCTTAAAGTAATGCAGTGCATTTCAGAAACACTTTGTATGTGCAAACAAGATAGAGTCCAAGGTACGTGCATTTCTTTACTAAACCACTCTACAGCAGGTTTACGTAATACGAATTGTAACGTACTGGAAACATTATAAAGCAGCTACACTCAGCCCGTTCCTTGGATGTCAGTGGTTTATTACAAACACACCAGAAGGATATTTTTGTTTTCGTGTTATTTGGATCCTGTTTCTGCATTTTCACCAACATATGCAGCCATAAGGCATACAAAGCGAAATGCGATCATCATTATATAACTTCATTAAATAACTATGCTGTCGGTATATATAGAATGCACCCAAAATACGTAGTTACACATTCAATGAATGAAATAAATACATTTTAATACACTAAAACAGTACATACGTCAGCCTTGGCACTCAGTGAATTATCGAATCTCGTGCAGGTGTTAAAAATAATCAACGTTACCTACGTGGCACAGTTAATCGATAACAAGGCAAGCATTCCGTGTTATGTGTACAACCTTTTTAAAAAACCTGCATTTACAATTCCAGAGCTCAGTTACTTATCATATTTATTTAATTATGCTGGCATGCAACTAACTGACTGCTACTATTTAGTGGAATGGAAGAACATACCCACAAAATATTAATTTCAGATATATCACAGTAAAATAAGTAAATAGATTAAGTTTTAAATTCATTTTTAAAAGGTCAATACTGCCTGACATTATCGTAGATTCTTCGATTATTTATTTAACTGCAGATGTATAAACCGCCGAATGAGGGGAAGGTTGTTATGTCTAGACAGCAATTCAATAAAAATATATTATTATTGATATTGCTGCTATTAAGGCAGACATAAAACTCAAGTATAAATGAATAAACTATGGCTATAACTGCCATCTAATAGAAAAAAAAGTCATTAAATTACAGCCCAGAGGGAGAAAACAGAAAATTGAAAATCTGAATTCGTAAGGGTGGAAATTGGAAGTAAATATTTATAAAATAACACAATATATAATGCCGGAATAACATTAGAAAGTCGGAATAGAATGTTTTGATCAGCGTCTCTAAAGCTTGGTCTTACTAACTGCCTTGATGCGTTGTAAATTATAATTTCAATAAAAGCTGTAGTTTGTAGCATTATAATTATTCTAAGTAAACAACGCTTCTTAACTACAGGATGAGTGAATACTACATAACAAAGGCAGTTCAGCAACTTCTTGCAGCATAAGGCTTGGATCTCTCACCTTGAGCACACTTTCGTCCTCTGAATGGCAGGATGACTGCAGGGTGACATCTGCAACCTTGCCTGCCTGGCTCACGATGAACACTTTCATCGCCTGAGAGACCTGGCGCCCAGTCAGCACGGCCGTGTTGATGACGTCCCAGTTCTAGAAGCAAAACAAAATGTCATATTCCACAATTGTCACCACCATTAGGCAATTTTTAACCACTTCTGATATGGGTATCTATAACGTATAAATAACAGCCTGTAGAGCACGGAAATTTTCCATTGGTGTTCTGAATTGAAAGCAATGGTAAAGGAATGTGGGCGAAAGGAGATCAAAGATCACTGTACGAAAGGGATTGTGGGAATATACGTGATAAGGGATGGAGACAGCCTTCTTTCATATGATGTTTGGTAAGACATTTTTAAAAACAATATGCAGAGGTAATTCTTTGTACAACATGAAACAGCATGGCTACTGCATAAATAATTAAAGCGTTCCGATTAGATCGCATAAACATTTGTTCTTGAGTTCAGTAAGTTAGTGAAGAATTAAATGCAGTATGTTGTAGATTGACATTACTTAAAACGTTAAGACCACATGATTTGTGAAGTTAGAAATAAAGATTAAGTAGAGTAATAAGTTTCGTTGACGAATATTTGTTCAAATGAACAGGTTTATAGATATTTTGATACTGCATGCATTTGAATACGTTCTAACTAGAAACAAAGGCAAGACTCTTAAGTATGAAACTATGCTGGTCTCTAAACAATCCGTTTTCTACAAACAACCGAATCGGCAGAGTAGAAAGAAAATAACATTTAAAACGTACGTTCATATGTTTTTGTGGTTAGTCGAAAGTACGTAAACTAATTTCATATTAAGAATATAGATATCTTGTGGGTCGTAGTACCGTGTAGTCTGGTAGAAGTTTACCAATGTTTCAGGGGTCCTTGCTACCTCCATCGTCAGGGTAATCGCCCTCTTTGTACTCAGCGCTGTGTAAACCTCAAATCTTACTGGCTTCAGATTCTTTGTGAATGAGATGATAAATAGGAAAGAAATCTTTGATTGAGAAGACGCTGATGTTTTTAGACTGTCCGTTGCTCCGCTTACGTCATCGCGTAGTTTTCCTGTATGTAGTTTACTAAAGTTCTCTGTTTCAGATAGCAGAACTTCATGTGTAAAGGTGCAAAGAACGCACGTGGAGAACGTAATCCGATAATGATTAAATGGAACTTCTGTCAATGAATCAGCACAACAATTCAGAACGTTTCGTTGTGTGTGTGAAACTATTTTCTCCCTGGTTCATTTCCTTCGTCGCTATCAATTATTGGTTCCTAGCTCTCACATTTCTCTCTTGGGAAAATCCACGAAACTCCTTTTTACAATATAACCTACGACCTTTTAAAGCAGGAAAGTTTTCTTCACGAGTTACATTAAAGGGTTCGCTATGCTATTGGTGTTGTAAAAGATCCGTTCGAATTACGTGATTCGTTTCCTTTCTTACAGTCAGGTAGCCTTTTTTCCGTATTTCTCCAGTGCCACTTAGCAACAGACCCACTATAACTCTTTCACGCGTGCCGCGCTGCCTAAGCTGTAGGCGCTCCACTACGATTCCTTCATCTTCTCCCAAGGCAGTGTTTTTTAAATACTTTCCTAAAATCTGTGCTTTGTGACATTTAGTGATGCCAAACTATACCATATTTGCAAACGACTGTTAATTAAAGAAAACATAAATGAATTCGACACAGAAAGAACAACAATTTATTTATGCTTTCATAAAATACCATTTTATAATTCGACGTATTGAAAGAAACAACATAAACATTTCCCTTCAAGATATTTTAGCCCAGACTGGGGCCCTACTCTTATGCCTGACCTAGTTATTTTCTTAGCTAATTAATGGAATAATCTCACACATGTTACGGATCGATGCTGAGATGGGTCTAAGCACACAAAAACTCCCGTGCCTGTGGCATGGTTTGAACACGTGGGTATACGGTTGCCAAGTTCACAAGCATACTGCGAATCTGCTTATATAAACGACATAACATTAGCTTTAGAATATTATATTTCATTTTCGGTCCTATCCTTTCCATACATCTCTTCTGAAATACATACATTCAACGTTTTGTTTCGAGAAGGATAGAATTACGAGTGAGAATTCATCGTGATGGCGACTGGAATACAGAAATGCTCGATATTATAGTTGTACCCTTTACCGATTAGGAGATGACGAAACAGGTTCACTCATCCACCCGCCAATCCTACACAGGACAAAACAACTGTGAGTTAACGTCGGTATGACTGAACAAACGTATATGCTGTAGGCTACAACTAAAGCGAAAGCTGATGTTGCACTGAAATGGTAGTAGCAAGCTCAAGGCCACATGCCTCGTCAAATCTCAAACTGTGGACAGTATAATAGTCAGAGGCTGTGTTGTAAACATTACTCAATTTGTGTCAAAGAGCTGTCAAAAACAGTTTTGTTGATCAGTGCAACAATTATGTAGTATGAAGTCCACTAAATAAAAATAACATCTCCTCAATAGCAATAATTTTATTAAATTCCTTATTAGTATTTGTCAAAATAAAAGAAACATATAACATGCAAATACTAATAAATATATACAACACTAATAAAACACACTAAGAAGGAAACGAATAAAACAAAATTACACTAAATAACATGTAAGTGAAAAAATCATTTGATACTGTGCTATTCATGAATAAATTATATAAATACTTTACAGAGAAATAACACGTTTTACGAGTTCTGAACAAGCCCAGTGACTTATTTCTAACAAAAAATTACCGTATGATTTTGAAGCGATACAATTTGGTACAGAGATATTTCTTCGTCGGTTATGTAAGCCTCAGCAATATGAAGCTCTCCAGAATGAACACGAATATACATTATATATAAAATGTAATATAAACTAAAGAAAATAAAAAAAGGCCACTTACGACAGGAAGGACCCATAATAATATTCTTCAGCGTCAACAAATACAGTTATTTTGTTCACTCTAAACAACCATCCTAGGGCTTTGTTAAAACAAGTGATTGTATTGTTGTAGGCCTAAGCTTGGAATAGGAAATTTAATTAATTTCGTGACTATACAAACCATTGAAAGGATTCGTGCCATTCCAACCACATAATTATTTCATCTGACGAGGCCCGTACTATTCTAGAATGCTTCTGGTCTGACCCGTGCAGGCTTTTACATGAGTCCGTAACTCATGCAAATGAAATGAGAACCTAACCTAACTAATTCAAACGTTCGAGTCTCCAAAATTTCTAAATCAGGACTCCAGTAACGAATCAATCAAATATCTGTTATTTATAAGCTTATTTAAATTATATGACATAAAGTAATGTTTCGAATCTTTATAAATTGCGTATCGTATTTATAATTTGAGAATTCGGCTTACTGGCAGACGTGAAGGACACGCCGACAAGTGCTACTAAATATATTTTAGACGTTATTCATTCATCAGTTGAAATTTTACTGATTTTAAAAAGCAGAGATTCGAACGAAAGGATCTTCCTTAATTTCAGCTATAAAGGGATGATACCTACTCCGCTGTATCCACAGATAGAGCTACTCTTGATCTCCATAAATCGACAAGATCGGGCAAATTTAAATAGTAACAGCAAGAGTCTATTACTATAGTGATAACCAATAATTTGAAGACGGGTGCAGAGATAACTCCCAAAACGTGAACATTTAGCAAGTCAACGGATATGTCCAACATAATATTGAGAAAATTGATCAATCCCTGTCATTTTGGGAAAATCAAATGTTATCTTTTGTTAATATTTCCAATGCCGAAAAGTTGCACAGAAGTTGTAGAATTTAATGCATTAAATGTGAAACGTATTGCCTAAGAACTATTAGTGTATGATGACGTATTTCTTAAACATTATACAATATCCGATTCGAGTTTCTATACTTATCCTGATATATACTTCAGAAACTCTAAAAACGTGTTAACAACACAGTTATTAATGGTAGAGCCATATTATGCCAAATTTCTCGTGCCATTAACATTAGCTTTCTCTTTAAACCCAGTGTGTAGAAGCCACTTATTTTTCCTTTTATTAGACGAAAGTTTACTCACGATAACAGCTATGTACTACACCTAAACAGCATTATAGAAATGAATATTTTGAGGATAATGATAATGAAATCTCTTTGAAGTTCAGTACAGATAGTTATGAAGTAATCCATCTTTTTATTACACTTTCGGTAGATTTCAACAAGCAGGAAGAGATACCAGCAATCGTTGAATTCAAATGACTCTACTATGGTTCGTGATCGTCTTTAGATCCAAATATTGTTCCAAAAATATTTGAACGTTTCCTTTTTATGTCAAAGATAACACAAAACTATTAATGTTCTTTAGGTAAATAATCTATATTTATTCTGAGAATCTTATGATGTGGACAAAATGCAAAATTATTACAACTGGGCCTTAGAAGATTAAGAAGAAATAGAGTTTGGGTGTTGAAGGACATGGAACTTGAACGAAGAATACGAGAAATCATAACATAGCAGAACGTATTTTACACTAATAGGACAAATTCCGCTACAGACTGTCGGTTCCGTGGCCAGGAGACCTTCATTTAAAGGAAATACATAATAATTTGAATGAAATTGACGTTACTAATCTAATAATAGCTTCATGACACTAACCGCTGCGAGTACCCTACAATTATTCCGAAAACTTGTAATTTAGAACTGCCGATAAAGGATGAGGGCAGTTAATTCTGAATTCGGATCGCATCAGCTAAATTCCACCTCAAATCACAAATTTATACACAAAAGGCCTACGAATATTTGACTGCACAGAAACACACATTCCATTTTGTGCAAAATCAGTACAAGTTCGAAACAGTGTACATCATATAGACATATTTATCATAGCATTTTGTTACATATAAACACACAGACCTAAATCAAATTAATTTTCGACAAAAACTGTTGTATCTTAATAAGATATACTATACGTCGAATATCATTTTTCTTTGGTATAACGAGCCGTTGTCGTCAAAAGAATTAAAATATATGTTTCCTGGGCGGATTAAAAATACACGGTGTTAGAATTATTTCCTTTCTGAAGCCGCCCAAAACCAAATACACCAGCGTACATGATA